AAGTGCTATGACCTTGCTATAGCAGGCTGGAAGACTGGAACTCATTGAAAGATGTAAAGTTAAACCAGTTTTAGCTGCAAACCTTGTGGAGTAACATGGAGTTCTTGGCTCAGGTTGTTTATCACTCATAAATAAAGAAAATGTGAAAAATTGGTTCAGGTTTATCTCCAAGAAGGACACGATCTACAAATGAGAAACCAGCTCTAACTAGGGCTACAATTGACAGTCCTAATTTGTATATAGATAAAACAAAAACCAGAGGGTCTAGACTGCAGGATTAAACATGTAAAGCTATCTTCAGCAGTGAGCATAATGACAAACAAAACCCACTAATGGTACCTATACCAGAGCTCATGTCTTCTACAATTGTACTTATCTGTACTGACCTCAAGCGTGAAGCGATTTATATCCCTGTGCAAAATAGCACAGCCATCTTGATACAAGAAACAGCTGCAATTCTCACTGAAGCTTTGGTCAAAGTCAGTATTCAAACGCTCTCTTAACTGAAGCGTGATATAAAAATCCCAAGGCACAGGCTGAGAATACACCTACAAGAAGGTACATAAGAACAACATTTATTTTTGGAAAAAAGCAAAAATTGCTCATCTTCCTTTTCTTCTCATCCTCTTTCTTTCCCTCCCCACTTTACCAAGGAGGATATTTTCCACCGTCAGAAACTTATAATCTGTATCAACAATTAGAAAGAGGACTTGAAATAGCAAACTTCATGCACAGAATATAAAAATTAAGATAAAACTTACTACATTTTACTTTATACTGGCTGGGGAGATTTTAACATTTCACACATATGTGTTACCTTTATTACAAATCCCTTTGCATCCAGCTGTGGAAAGTTAGCTAGAATGGCAAAAAACATCTTGCATTCTTCATTGGTCCAATATTCCCATTTGATAGAGTAAGTCTCATTTCCTGTTATGAAAGTTTACATTCATGAGCTGTCACAGCCAATATAGATACTCACGCTGTTCAAGTGACTCCCCATCTACACCACATAAAACTACTGAAGGTGACTATGAAGCACATTTCAAACCAATTCTAACATAAATAGCACTTCCACTGTGAAGTGTCTGGCATACCTACCTAGCTCAACATCTTTCCCAAACTCCATGACAGGCAGAGCACCAGTCTCCAAATGAAAATCTGGAGAGGCAGTCAATGATTCTGGCATGGGATCTAAAAGCCTTTTACGCTGTTCAGCACTCCACAAAAACCGAGCTACATCGTCACCTAGGAAGACAAGGAACAAAAACAGATGAGCTGAAACTAGGTGCTGAGTCTCTGTGACTTGATTATATCTGTTGAGAAAAAGTAACCTGGATATTGGGAAGCTTTCTATCCTGATCTACTGCATCACCTTTCAGCAAGCCAATTAATTAATCTCCTTCCAATAGTTGCTTGTTCTGTGAAGTGAACGTAACGCTTGTCTTTGAAACTACCTTACAGAATATCTCGAGCTCTCAATGATTCTACTGTAGTGTCATGTAAAATTTATCTTTCACAAGAGACAAAGCTCTGAATTAAATTACGTACATCTCAAAGATTTTGCAAATGAACACTCCTTGGAACAGGCTGCCCAGGGAAGTGGTGGAGTCATCATCCCTGGAAGTGTTCAAGAAACATGTAGATGTGGGTGCTTAGGGACATGGTTTAGTGAATTAGGTGGTGTTAGGTTGGACTTGATGATCCTTGAGGTCATTTAAAACTTTAATGATTCTATGATTCTATGATTTTTTAAAAAATCTGCTTACAGAGTAAGTGATCAGTTGGTGATTTTTAAATAAAGGGTTTTACTGAAATTCACTCCTTTGAGTACAGCAGCAGGTTTATGTAAGAAAAGGAAAACAAAGCTGGACTCCAACTGCTGCTGCTCTCTGCAATATGAAGAATTTAATTGCTTTTACCTCCTGGAAGACACACAAGATAATTACATGTAGGTCTAGGTTTATTTTCCTGCATAATAGCACAGAGAGAAAATAATTCGATAGATAAGTTCATCTGTACAAAACCAAGGTAGGCTGAAAATTGATCGCAAATGATCAGGCAGAGTAAAACACAACAGAACTAAATGGCTTCTGCTGACTCCCTCTCCCAAGCTACGAGTGGTAATGGGTGACAACATTTTAAGCTTTCCTAACACAAAGGTAAGAATCAGAGTATCATTACGTACCGTTCTATTTATTTGAAAAGCATTGCAGTAAGATATTATTGCTCAGGAAATAATTCCATGAAAGTAGATCCAGGAAACATTCTAGGTTGAAGATTAAACAGGTGTTCCAGTATTTTACCACCACAAACCTATGAAATTTACTGGCATATTTTAGAGGAATAAATTGACAGAAATCTGAAGTAATTTTTTCTGGTCTATGCAGCATTAAGGAGTCCTCAGTAGAATTACTATTGTCCAGGTTGAGAACTGCTGTTCAAGGGAAATGTGCAGAAAGCAAGACAAAAAAGCAATGGGAATGGTCAAAAGTTTAAGAAAGGCCCATTAAAACATCTGAACAAATGCCTTCTTTTCTGAAAATAATCTGTAAAATTTCTTTATCTTGCTCTAAAAATTACTGCATACAAAAAAAAAAAAAAAAAAAAGAGTGTAAGATCTATTCAAAGATTTCAGTTATTTCAGTGACCCTTCTAATTGTATTTTCATTCCATGTCCGGAGCATGCTTCATCATAAAATAATCTGCAGACACACAATAACATTCTTCTCTAGAGTAGCTACACTGAGAATTTTCAGATACACAATTCCAATGAAAATATAAACCAAAAATCAAAGGAGTTAAAGAGGTTAAACACCTTGAAAACCACCATTCAACACAAACCTAATTAGGCCAGATTTTGAAGGCTTTTTGTGACCATTCCTGTTCTAACTGTAATACAAAGAATTACAACGGAGACAAACAAAGGTCTTTGGCTAGAAGAAAAAAAAACAAAACCACAAACACAAGCCCATTTAAGTACCAGTATTGTTTTCCTTCCATAGGAGAAATGTACTGCAAAGCAGCACAATAGTTTACATCAAAGACTGCAAATTTAAAAACAAAATTATGCAACTTTCACTAGATTTCAAATTCATATTCACCTTTTTTTTCAATGGGGCACTTATCAGTACACCAGGAGAACAGACAGTACAATTACAAAGAGAAAAAAAATTACGACAAAATAAAACAAAGCTGTCTTAGAAGTTCTCAGTACCATCCAGTCCAAATTTTTCATCTCAGAATTTGACCTCATTACTCCTACACACTCCCTGCTTTAATACCTTAAATAACTTCTCAATCACCTTAATATTTACATCTTTTGGATGCTGACAAGCATGCTATGCTGTATACCTCACTACTACTTCTGACAAGAGACACAAGTGTAGTCACAAGTCAAAGTAATGGGAAATACACAGAAAAATGGATAGAATATAGGAAGTACATAAAAATCACCATAGTTTAGTGACAGCTGCAAGTTACTTCTTGTGAGTGAAACTCGGTTTAGTACTAACCACTAATGTTTTCACTGATACCTCCAGCTTCGGCAACCATTTCAGCAGGCAAACTCTGAGCAACTTCCAGATTCTCAGGGATATGCAGGTATTTAATAGCAGGTGTTTGTGTAACAGAAGTCAGAGAAGATCCTGAGGAGACAGAACCTGACGAGCGAGTATCTTCCAGGCTTGCTTCCATGATCGGGCTGTAAATGAAGTCATCAACTATTCAGACTTTCAGAAGATACAGTGTCTAGATAATGCCAGCCTGGTGACTACAAAAGGATACTGCGCACTCTGAGATTTCTTTATGTTAAAGAATTCCTTTTCCACCCTTAGTGGAAAACCAATAGTTATGTCAGAGCTTCATTTTAGCTTCAATGTTTGTTTATACTCAGAATCTTAGTCTACAGATTAATTTTATCTTCTCTCCCATTAAATATGACCGCTACAACAGAAGACATAGTGAATGTTTATTACTCCCTCAGCTATCAAAATTCAGACCTACAGTGCTTTTAAAGCAGTGGAGGGTTGGGTGGGAAATAACTCTTGCTCTTCCTTCCTAATTATAATCAGCATGGCTCCCCAGGGAACTTGTCAAGTAAACAAACACCTTCAGCAAGGTATACAAATCAAACTCAGTTCCAAATTAAGAAAACCCCATACAGATGTTTTTTCTTTACAATGAAACAGGAGGTTGTTTGCCAGTTTTTTCTTCTCTTTAGCTTTTCTCCTCTGCAGAAGAAATCTAATCCATAATCACCATATGCATTTTATATACTAAAATAACTACAGAAGCATGCAAGTATAAAAGGAACCAAATTATTCTACTTTTAATCTCTGCTTACAAAGACAGGATGTGTGTTAATTTCTTTGCAAGTTATTTGGTAGTAAAACCATGGAGCTGAGTCCTGCAGCAGTAACGTTGAAAAGCCAAATATGCTTGCTATTACCTCTTAAATCTGCTCAAGGCAAAATGGACCCAGAGCTAGAGAAATGGTGCTCTCATGCATATTTTGATCTCTTCAGAAAATTGTTTCTTCAGAAACAGAATAGTAAAAAAACAACCAAGGAAAGATACACAGGAAAAGGGACTTAAGATGCTTTGTTAATTACCTCAGTTTATTTATACAGGGAGCTTCATTGTACGGTCCCTCAGAAACCACAGTTTCTTGATTCAGAGGTGCACTCTTAGATTCTGGACAGTCTTCCTTCTGGACACTCTGGGAAAAATCAGGAGCTGGGACTCTCTGAGCTACCACCCCATGAAAGGGCGTTGAGGCCAGATGGGCAGCCCTAACAAAGTCACATGTGTCTTCTGGGTTGGCACAAAGGGTTTTGTTCTTGTAGGAGCCAGTCACAATTGCATCTTCAGTTAAAGGTTCAATTCCATTCAGCTCATCCTGAAAAAAAGTAGGAAGAGACAGAAAACTTTGTCATCTTTTTAGATTTATTTAAAAGTTCAACATTTATCTCTCCCCTTTCTTCTACCCCACCTAATAAAATAATGAAATTTCCAGTGTAATCTTAACACCACCCAATTCAAGTATTGCCATGCCAGACAGAAGTTTAGAATCCTCGCTTATCTCACACATCCTGTCAGTCCAGCCCATCTCACTCAGTTCAACAATAGGACATTCTCTGGTGGTTTCTCCTTGAGAGGAAATCTGCTGTGAGGTAACTGTTTCCTTACAGAGGCTTCTGGTGGTATGTTCTCCTTTGCAGTTAGAGAATCTGAGGGTTTACGAACAGCAAGAGGGCGCCGGGCACTTTTCTGCGTATGATCTGCAGAACAACTAAGATAAAGTTACATTCCATTAAATATTTATTAGGGTAGCTTCCAATCTTCAGAGATTCCTCTCAAGAGTTTAAGTCTACTAACAATTTCAATGTACCACTTCCTACTAAACAACTAGCAGTAAACTGCAATATATACAGCTCTCCAGAATGAAGAAAGTTTATATAGCAGCTTAAATAGTTCTAGATTGAGGTGGAACAACAGGAGAGTATTTCCTCATCATGGACTTCTCAAGTAGAGTAATGAAATAAAACAAAAAAATCCCCACAAACATGAACAAAACACCACCCCACATCCATACAAAAAAGCAGTACTGTATTTCAGCTGCTACAGAAAGTGGTTTGATACTTCAGTTTTCCCTCCCTCTAAAATCTAGGTCTTGAATAATTCTACCTTGTATTCTGATTTGCCAAAGTAGAGGATTCATCAAATATGGAGAAAAGTGTTGCAGGAACTGGTGGGGGAAGGAGACCTACACCTGTAAAGAAAAGCCAAGAAACTCTATTTTATCAGCAGTTTTTCCACAACAGTGTATCCAATGTTACTTAAAACATTTAATACACAGCCTGAAAAACACCAGTGCTAGCAGGAAGTTACACAACTGACATTTAAAGAATCCTGTTAAAAAAAGGCTTGGCTTTGTCACATTAATGAACCGCACTTTTACCACCATCTTATGTTAGCCGACTTGCTCTCTTCACAATTTGTACCTTTTTTTTCAAGGCTGGCTTCATCCCTCTGTTCCTCCTGGCCATCCTCAGAGTCTAAAAACACATTTTCCTTTTGTGCACCTGGGCATACATCAAGAGACTGGATAACCTCTGTCAACAGTAACAGCAGTCAATTTGGGTCAAAAGTAAATTTCTTCAGCCGTTTCTTTCCCAGCAACAAAACTGAATATATAATTTCTGATCGTATTCCTCTACCAAATCCTCTGAGAAAAAAGGAGGACTTAAGAAAGTATCAATCTTAGCATTACACTCTTTTCTAGATTTTAGTAAGACCGCATATATGAAAGCGTGAAGAAAGCTCTTCAGCTATTAAAAGAAAAAAGCTCGTCTGCTTGAAAGTCCTTTCAAATAATGACAGTTCTCAGACCTCAGATGCTCAGACTTTCGCTGAATACGGTTAAAGGCACTCAACACTAGCACATCCTCATTTTCATTCTTCTAATCCACCTAGACTTTTGTTTTTACTTTGTTGCAGCCTTGCTAGTCATATAAAAGAACACTTCCCTTCCCTTCAACATGGTCTTCTCCTCAATGGTAAAAAATTTAAATACTTACCTTCAGAACAAAATGGTTTATGCATTTGAGTGTCTTCAGAGACCAGGGATTCACTGTGAAAAAGATTCAGACTTGTTTCTTATATTTTACACACCTTCATAAAACCTAAGTAAACTTTGTAGATAAGGCAAGCCAAGCTGCCGTATGTTACTTTTAAGTTAAGATCTCTCAGACAAATAATTGAAATTATAAAGGCAGTTTACAGATCGTGGTTACAGGCTGATGCCCAGGGATATACTCCATTCTCTGTGGAAACAGGCTACCTGTTAGTGATCCATGTTACTCGTAACTAATTATCCCCATAAGTTTTCTCCTTGCTGGCAAAGAAAATTCTGTACTACCTTTGCAACTGAAGCTGTTTCTCTGCAACTTCTGTAGCACTGGAAGAAGTAAATCCTTGCAGTCCTGAAGGTGGCAAAGCTTCTGTTATCTCTGTTGGCTGTAGAAATAAAACCATATTTTGGTTCTGCAGTGATGGAATCACAAGCCATGCAAGAAAGTTCCAAGAATGTTATGATAACCCCGTTAGAGCCTTGACAGATTAATAATTGTCTTTAGCCATCTTTATTTGTACTTAGCTTACTTGAATTAAAAAAAGTATATTTTTATTGCTTAGTGTAATTAAAATGCATTTTACTCTTTACAACTGCATATAACTTTCATAGAAAATTTTAGTTATACTGCAACTATTAAAGACATATGTAAGCAGTTACAAAGTTGACATGAAATTCACAATACTTTGTATTTTGTTATTTAAAATACTTACTACTAAGGCATTGTTTTGGAAATGGGGAAGAAGGGGAGAGAGAGAGACAGAAAGAGAGAACATACTTTTTTAGCCCAATTGATCAAGTTGGGAAAAAGAAAAGCTTTAAAATAGTTAACTTTTACTTGTTATTTGCAACCCATAAGGAAACTGGGGTTTAAACACTGCCTAGCAATGACAGACCAAACTATACTTGCTTGAAAGATACTCTGCTGAAGATGGGTCTGCACCAAAAAGGAAGGAAAACAAAAAAAAAAATCTAGTAAATAATAGAGCATACTACTGTCTATAAAACTCAGAAACAAATGAGATATGACTTTGTGCACTGGTCTTAGCTGGGATAGAGTTAATTTTCTTCCTAGTAGCTGGTATGGTGCTATGTTTTGGATATTTGACCAAAACAACGTTGATAACACACTCATGTTCTAGCTATTGCTGAACAGTGCTTATGCAGCACCAAGGTCATACTGCCCCACCAGCGAGTAAGCTGGGGGTGCACAACAAGCTGGGAGAGGACACACACAGCTCAGACAGCTGACGCAAACTGACCAAAAGGATATTCCATATCCTATTATATCATGCTCAGCAATAAAGTCTGGAGGAAAGGGGGATGTTCAGAATTACAACATTTGTCTTCCAAAGTAACCATCATGCATGATGAAGCCCTGCTTTCCTGGAAACAGCTAAACATCTGCCTCCCGATGGGAAGCAGTGAATGAATTCCGTATTTTGCTTTGCTTGAGTGCGCAGCTTTCAGTTTGCCTATTGAACTGTCCTTATCTCACCCAGGAGTTTTCTCACTTTTACCCTTCTGATTCTCTCCTCCATCCCACTGAGGGGGAGCGAGCAAGCAGGCGCTGTGGTCTTAGCTGCCTACTGGCGTTAGCCCACACCACTTTGTGAGCCTTCACTTCTTTATTCCAGCTTCTTCTCCTGTCCTCTTTCACACTACAACTTCTCTATATAAAAGGAAACCACACATGAAGAGAGCTTAAGAACAATTCGCCCTTAAGCATTTGGCATACCTTTACTTAAAAAATTTAGAAGTTTATACCTTAGCATAAGTTATCTTGTCTGATTGTTAAATAACTTAACAATACTTGCAAAGCAATACCACAAAACTTAAAGTCTTTGATTTACATTCCTATAATGAAAGGATATGGCTTGAGGACAAGTGGGAGAGAAGAAAATAAGTATTTCTCTGAGCATTCATTCACTAGATAATGTATACATACAAGAATCTGAAGTATCCTCTCAAAAAAGTTTTAAAAGTGTTAGACAAAGAGAAACATATTAGATATTGTTCCTCTTTTGCTACTTTTACTTGAAATAGCAGCTATTTCTAAAAGAACAGTTAAATGAGGATAATACCTGTTCACGCAGTTGTTGCTGCTTGTCATCTTCTTTCTTCTTTAATTTCTTCTCCAGCTCCTCAATTTTCCTTTGTATTTCTTCCTTTTCCTGTGCTATAGCCTGCAACTCTTCTAAGGAAGAGAAAGCACAACACATATTTCACATACAATCTGTGGCAAAAGCGTAAATTATTTGTAAAGGGGCTAAAACCTCTGGTCTTCTTTCCCTGTTTCATAGCTTACATGTAAAGCTGTCAGATATGTTACTCTCGCTATACCTCAGAGCAGTTAAGTCACTATTCCAGTAGAAAAGTAAAAGCAGCTGTAGACAGCTGTGTGCTAATAAGAAGTATGGATTCCATCTCAGAAAGCATTATGTATGTTATCCCATTTTGAAGCATACCTTTGATTTTCTGTTTTGCTTTCTTTCTGTAGATTTCAGCTCGGATCTCTTCCAAAGAAAATTCTTCGACTCCAGCATAAACTTTATCTTTACAGTACATCACTATCTCCTTCTTTTCTTGAGCATCCTGCTGATGATTTTGCACTCGCTGTAGTGGATCCTCCTCTTTCTCAGGTTTGCGAACACTTAGAACACGGTTTATGCTGGGTTCAATTTTGCAGGGAGTCCTGAAAAAACATGCAGTTATTACTTTGATTACACGTACTTCCCTGTAACACAGAAAAGGAAGCATAAGAGAGAAAATAGCTAATTTCAGAATCTAGCTGTAGAACAGTCTAAAGACCTTCTGCTGATAGAAAAAAAAAAAAGAAAAATGGAATGATAGCACATAAAAGGCAAGCATGCCAACTCAGAATTGTGTAATCAAAAAACCCCAGACAATCCATCAAAACAAAGTGTTAATAAGGCCCAGTCAAGAGCAAAAAGAAGTCTTATGATACTCTGAATCACTGTGCATTCTGGACCACACAGGTGACAAGTCCCTCATCATCCTACACAACAGGGTTGGGGGCAGGGAGGGGACAGGGAGAATCAGCAGGACTTAAAAATGGAAGATCTTGGACTAGATTAAACCTGGCATTTTAGATTAAGAAAAAAAAAAGGAAGATTTAAGATGTAATATGCAGGGAGTTTGCTCAAGGAGAATGTTTTGTATGCTGAGTGACAGAAATGAAGTGCCTCACTACAAACACGCACAAAACCCCATCACTGTACAGTGAAAGGAGGCTGCAGCAGTCAATTTCTTAGCTTGCAAGTGCTTTCTCAAAGTACTACATCCTAATTTCAGAGGAGAGGAAACAGAATTTGTGCAGTTTTACAGATATCAGTAACCCAGATGATTCCAGCAATCATCTGTACTCCAGGTAAAGGATAATCTGAACAACTGACCTTGAAAACTATGTTAACTGTGGTGTGAGTAAATAGTTCAAAACAAAACAGAGTGCAGTATTCCAAGAGATCTGTTTTGTATGTGAATGGACTCACAACCTTAAGACGATCCGGGAGATTATGAGGCAAACAGGTGCTCCTAATAGCTGGGGGTTTTCTTAAAGCTTTTCTCTGTGGAGGTGGTAGTTTATTACCAAGATCACTACAGGGTCCTTCTACCCAAATTTCTGGATGACAACTGATGGCACGATTTGCATCATGTTTATACAATTCCAGTGCGACACCTTCAGACTTGATTTGGTTGACAGCCACGGCATCATGAGGATATGGACTCAAAGGCAGGAAAAAAAAAAAATCTGCTTTTAAACTTTCAACTGCATAGTATAAAACTATGTACAAACTCTCTGCTCAATTTGCTTACAGCTAATTTAGTGTGATGTTCACTTCCGAGCCACTTCTTCCTTTTCCTGGTATAAAAGCATGGTACTTTCTGTAAGTAATAAGCATTCATTTAAGAGGTACCAGCATGTCAAGAGATCTAATTCTGTGGCATCACTGACTTTCAGGAACAAAAAAATATAGTCTTATCGCTTAGACATAAACTTAATTTTTCACATATTCCTAAAATAAATTAAGATATGTCCTTGGTCAAGCTACTCTGCAGTCTAAATGCAACATACAAATCCCACAGGAAAAATCCCTGCTGTTAGCCACCATTCGGTGTTTTTTGATTATATGCAATTCAAAGCCAAGGAACCTGTCTCTAACATCAAACATTCTTTTCCACTTCTCCTTAGGAGACACCTATGCTTTCCATGGCCATCATTAGCCGACCAGAGGTGAAGC